GCCACAACGCCCGGCCATTTTTTGGTTGCAGCCATCATTGTTGTTTGGTGGGCCTGGGCTGGGGATTCGAACCTGCCACCTTAGGTGTACGTGGCTGGCGCCTTAGCCACTTGAGCCACAGGCGCCGAGCCCAAAAAAATATTTTTTCCTCATTATTCTTACTTAGTTATTTTCAGGTCAATCATTTTAACTTTGCCTTGGCCCTCATCGTTATTCTTGAAAGGTACTTTTGCTGGATTCACAATTCTGGACTGGCTTTTTTCAAAATACTTGCAGATAATTTTAAACTATCTTCTGGTTTCCATTACTGCTGCTGATTAGTCAACTGTTCATCAGTTTTTTTCTTCTTCTTGCTGATGATCTGTCTTTTTCTCTCTGGTTATTTTTAAGATCTCTTTGCCTTTGCCAATTTGCAATTCCACTATGATGTATCTAAGCTTAGGTTTCTTTTATTTTTTCCTGTTTCATAAAGGATATATTGGGCTTCCTGAATCTTCAGACAATCTCCCATCAATTCTCAGATACTTTATCATCTTGATACTGTTTATTCTTTCCCTTTGAAACTCTTGTGGGACACATAAAGCACCAACCTTAAAGGAAAAAATACTTTAATTGAGCTCATTGCAATCAAGATCTTTTATTGATCATAAAACACCAATAGAACAGTGGAAGTGCAAGCTACCAAATGGGAGAATATATTTGTAGCACATATAACTGACGAAGGCGCTGCTCTAGTTTACTATAAGGAAGTTACAAGACACATACAATGGAAAATGTGCAAGGATCTTGAAGGGGCATCTCACAAAGAAATAGATACACATGCCCAATAAACATGAAAGAAAAATGAAACTTGATGAAACTTTCAACCACAGAAGACTCCAGCACACACTCAGAATGGCCAATTTGAAACTAGTATTATAAAATGTTATGGAGCATGTGATGCAGCTAGAAGTAGCAGAGAGTGTTGGTGGGAGGATAATTGGACAACTGTCTCTGTCTACTAATGTTGAATATACTCAGTATAACGAATGACCCACACATTTCACTCTTAAATATACTTCAGTGAAAACATTTACGGCAGCATTCTTTATAACAGCCAAGAACTAGAAACTACCTGAATATCTCTCAAAGGCATCATGGGTAAAGAAACTGAAATATTCCTATGTTGGAGTGCTGTGTAATAAAGAGAAGGGAGCGCCCCCTGCCACCACAGAACTGCATGGATGAATCTCACTAACTTAATGTGAGGGGGAAAAGAAATACTTAGGTAATTTATGTAATTTTCAAATACAGGCAAGATTATCTCCTTGGGGGTGGGAGATAGAGGGCATAATGTAGCTTAAATAGGGCTTATTGGGGTTTACTTAATCTTATATTTCTTGATAGGGAGGTGTTCACATGGTATATTCATTTTTGAAAGCTCATGCTTAGACACTTATGCTTTGTACTTTTGGAATACATGGTATAATGGTTAAAAAAGTTAAAAATAGATGCGATGTCTTTGCCATCTTAAAGCTTCTGTTTCAGTTGATGGCAAATACTAAGCACATGAACTTAAAAATGCATATAGGATTATAAATTATAAACATGTGTAAAGGCAAAGAACAAGGTGCTATGAGATTAAGTAATCTAGGGACCTGCTTTTATGTGGATAGTTTGACCAGACCTCTATGACAGAGAATTATTTAAGGTGAAAGAGGAGAGGAAAGGTATAAGCTAAGGTTAGGGAGTATATAAGACTTTAAAGACATGCTGAAGACTTCAGTCTTCATCCCAAGGCCAGTGGGCAGCCTTAGAAGGGTTGTTAGTAGCCAAGTTATGTGACTTAAGTACTCTGGCTACACTGAGAATCACGGGTTTGAAAATGGGCCAAAGATGAATGCCCTGGCCTGTTTAAAGCCGATTGCAGTGTTCCCAGCAAAAGATCCATGATCTAGACCAGAGGGCTGCCAACTTTTTATATGAAAGGTGTCTGTTCCACTTACTCAGCTTTGCCAGTGTAGGGTGACAGTAGCCATAGATAAGACAATACATAAATAAACATGCATGGCTGTGTTCCAGTAAAACTTTATTATAAAAAACAGGTGTCATAGTTTGCCTATCACTGATCTAGACTACAGAGATGAAGAATAATAATTTAGATATATTTTTAAAGTAGATTTCTTAGCATACAGATTGGATGTTAGCATAGGTGAGAGGAAGGGCTTCAAAGATGATTTCTAGACTTTGGTCTTGAGTAATTAGTGGACAGTTGTGCTGATTAGGGATCAAGTTCATAGAGTCTGAAACCCACTCATCTCAAATGGTGAACAGTGGCATGTCAGAGTTCCAGTGTTCTCCTTATCTTTAGTCTAGAAGTACTTTTATTCTTTTCCATGCATACTAGTCAGCTAAAAAATTAAAGTGAGAAAACAACCAAAGAACCAATCATATTGATCAGTCCTGTGATGTCTTGTAATAGGAGAAAAAGTAATGGGAAAGAAAAAATATGGACTACTCTCAGACACCTATTGATTCATTGAAAACGTATCTTTATCCTCATATTCTCTCATTCTCCAAAAGTAATGCCCTTTCACCCTTGTGCCCCACTGCCGCCCTTATAAAGATAAACCAGAGAATGTACAGGTTATAGGGAAATCTTACACTGATTCTTGTTATATATTAATGGCATTGGGACGGAGGGGGCAGCTAAGTAGAGCCACCGTCCACTGTTGGACAAGTTCCGCTTCTCAGTCCAGATGTAAGAGGCACCTTTTCAGGCAGTTGCCTTAGTACCATTGCTATTGAAACCAAACACGATGTTGATTTTCTTTATAGTTTGATATGGTCGAAATTTTGTATTTGATCAATACATTTGTGTATATTTTTTACCAACCTTTCAATTTATAGGCTTTGCTCTCTGTACATGACACTGTGGCTCAGAAGAATTATGACCCTGTGTTGCCTCCTATGCCTGAAGATATTGATGATGAGGAAGACTCAGTCAAAATAATTCGTCTGGTTAAAAATAGAGAACCATTGGTGAGTTTTGGTCTACATTTTGTACCCAGATATGATTCGATACCGTGATAAAGCCAAATCTGATGGACACAGACCGTGTATACCTCTCCTGAAAATGAACTTCCTCTGTGATCTCAAACTTCCAAACAAATGGAACATTCATGTCCAAAGAATATGATTTAGCAAAATGAAAATGATTCCAGGGTGTTCAGCACGGCCCCTGGGTGAAGGGCTCTTTTACAGCTTGAACTTGAGCTTGGAAGTGAGAACAATGCAACCTAAAAAATTGTACCCTAATATTAATTTGAAATTAAATAAAATGACAGGCATTCTACTGGTTAGAAATAGCAGTAATTTTGAAAATGTGATTTATTAACATTTGTACCAGAGAGCATACCATGCACTAAGTATGGCTGATTCGAGATTAAATGGTACAACTAAAAAAATTGCTTTTGGCTATGGTAATATAACTTTAGGCTATTTTATATACTTCACCCAGTTTCTTCTTCAATTTAAACTCATTTCCAGCAGGTCCAACTAAAATGTTTGATAGATCCAAATGAAATATTATCTAATTTCTTTGATAAATATTTTGAAGACATTTAGTCAGGAGGTATGAAACTTAAATCTGTTTAATGTGATGGCATGTTTTATCTGTTTTTAAAAAATAGATTTAAAAAAAACTTCATAGAAAAAGAGGACATCTAATAGGATGAAAAAATTTCCAAAATTATTTCCTAGGTATTCTTAAAAAAAGTATTAAGATTGTAAGTTTCCTTTTAAAGATATTGGGAGTATGTAATCAAGTGAATAGAATTACTTGTCTTGAAACTTTCCTCATCCAAATGTGTAATTAAATGCATTCCGTTCTCACTTAAAGGTAAACTAAGATTATTGGGTGAATCAGTTTAAAGTTTGGAAAAGGGAAAATATTAATTTGAACATTTGTCAAGTAGCAATTGTCAGTTTGGGGAGGTTATGGGAGAGGCCACAGGACTGCAAGAGCAAAACCAAACACACATGGAGAGAAGATTAAGAGTCAAAGGCATCTTTAGGAGAGCCAGTCCAAGTAATGAGAGTCAGAAACAGGCAAGGTGAAGGAAGCCGAAAGACACTCCTGTCAGGCGATGGTCAGGAAATGCTTACTAGACAATTTACGGGAAAGGCTATAAGATCAGGCAACAAAGGGGTAGGTTACTGGTGTTATTTAAGAATATAAGTGGTGACATGAATACCAAACTTGCTCCCACCCATGACTTCAGTTGGAGTTTGGCTTATTTCTTTGCCCCGTAACCTACAGCAGCAAGTCACTCGTCATCTCAGTCCTATTCAGAGGGCAGTGTACCTCTTGGGGAGTATTTTGGATGTCAGCTGAGATATAATGTATTTGGAATGCCATAAATGTTCTGAAACATTATGTAAGCATTGTATAATGTCACATAGAATGGTTCATGGTTAAGGTAGAAGCTGGAGTACATCTGCTCAAGGAAAGAATGGTTACCTGGGAGAACGGGCCGTGAACACAGACCTGGTAGGTATTTGGAAAGGAAAATGTGTGATACTTTGAGGGGAAGAATCAAAAAATTGAAGAGAATGGGGAAAATGGTGGTCAGGATTCAAGAAGCAGAACTATCCATCTTCCTTTTTGAGTTTGGAGCAATTTACATTTGTTTTATTAAGAAATTAAGTGTTAATTATCGAGAAATTAAATTTTAGAAAAGATGAAAATGAGATTCTCTTCATTGGTGGACTTTGATTCTAAATTCTCCATGTTTCTTACACAGATTGTTCTCTTTTTAAGCAAGAGGACAAACTTTGGTATTAGAAGAATGACCCTAGGTGCTGACTTAAATTGCACATTTCTGGACTCTCCCCTAAAGAATATGTATCAGCAGGTTTTTGCTGGGGTCTGGGAATCTCAATTTTTAGAAGTGTCTCAGCTGTTCTCAATGCAAGTGCTTGGTAGACCACACTTTAACCCTGAAATTGACCGTGCCACTGTCTTAAGGAAACCTTACAATAGTGTCAGTTTATAGGAGATAAAATTTTTATTTTAGATCATGATAACCCAGTCTCAGTGGTCCCCTTTCATAAACTAATTTACAAACATAATAGTTAACAAAAAGTCTTCTAACCTGAAATACTCTATTTTTGAATCACAGAGTAAATTTAAACTAATTACGTAAGAAAATGTGTAAGTTTCACCAAGCGACTGTGATAATTGAGGTTTTGAAAACAAGATAGAAATAAAAGCCTTCAGGAATGGAAAGTTCAGAGTAAAGAGTGCGTCAAGTTGGTAGTATTGTATAGAAAGTGAGAGATTACTTATTCGTAGTGTTTTTTTTTCCCTGATGGTTAATTTTAGATTTTATTTTTTTAAGTTTTTTAAATTAAATCATAACTTTGTACATTGATGCATTTATGGGGTTCAGTGTACTGATTTGATTTACAGTGTGAAATGCTTACACTAAACTAAGTAACACATCCATCACAATTATACTCTTTTCTTAATAGTTTTGAAATGTACCATTGCATCGTGCACGTTAGGTGAGGGCTCCCCATATACCCTCCTTCTTCCCACCTTCTCTCTCCCCTCTCCTCTCTCTCCTCTTACCTTCTACTTTCTAGACTATAGTTATGTTTTACCATTCATATGTTTATCTGTAGTTTATCCTCCAAGGAAAGTGGAATCAGCAGTTAGCGAGCTTGCTCCATCAGAACACACATCTCTATCTACAGCAGAACCCTTATGTGTTGGAGTGATTTTCTTTTTCTACGCATTCCAGAAGTGATTTCATCCTGCCCATGGCTTTAAAAAACATTTCTATGCCAGGGAGTCCCAGGCATATCTCTCTTCCAGACCTTTCTTCTGATCTTTAGATTTGTATATCCATCTGTCTACTCGTTATCTCCATTTGGATGTCTAATAGACATCTCAGTTTTCACATATCCGAAAATAAACTGCTAATCTTTGTCCCCACATCTGTTCCACCCTCGTCCTCCTCTCTTTCAGTTGATGGCAATTCCATGCTTTCAGTTTGCTCAGCCAAAAACTGGAGAGTCAAGTGTTGGTTCCTTTCTTTTTTTTGCGTATCCCATGGTCAGTCCTTTGGGAAGTCCTTTTGCTTCTACGTATAACATATCCAGACCCTTTAGTATGACCTCTGCTTTCTCCTGGATTATTGCACAGATTGAGCCTTTGAAATCTAAAATTTCAAAATCTGAAACGCTGCAAATTCTGAATTTTTTTGAGCACCAATAGGAGCTCAGAGGAAATACTCACTGGGGCATTCAAAAGGATGAAAATATTCCAAGTTCAAAAAGAAAACTCAAACTCTGAGACCCTTCCTTGTCTAAGCATTTCAGATAAGAGAGACTCAGCCCATGACTTCCTCCTGTTTCTTTCATTGCTTTCGCCCTTACATCCTTTGCTCTTCTAGATTATTTACCACCTTGTACCTTCTCCCTTTTTCATTGAGAGTAAAGCCCAGTGCGTCACATTGACAGGCTCCCTGCTGCTATCTGACCTCATCTCCTTCTGTTTTCCTCTTTTACTGTGCCCTCATACACTGGCTGCTTTGTTCCTTGAACGTTTCCTTCACAGCCGCCTTTAGCATCGTTGCACTGGCTGTGTCTTCTGGTCTTTACCTACGCTGACTCCTTCATCTCCTTCCCATCTTTCTTTCCTCAGATGTCATCTTCCCGGTGAGGCCTGTGTCTTCACATTGTCTTTCCTCCACCTGCTCTGGAATCCAGAGCTTTTTCTCCCTGCCCTTCCCTGCCCCCTCCCACCTCCGAGGAATTTACTATCTTCTGCCATACTGTATATACTATATCGAATTATTTTGCCACTGTTAGAATGTAAGCTCAATTAGAGGCAGACATTTTCAGTTTTTCGCCAGTGTATTACAAACCCTCAGAATAGTGCTCAGCATATGGTAAATTCTCAATAAACACTTGTCAACTTCGTTGAGTCACAGAATTAAGTCAAAGGGACTAGCATGAAGCACAACAAACAGGATGGTCCTATACTGAAAAACAGTACAGTTCATAGTGGAGAGAGTTGATCCACTTAATCCTGTGCAAACCACATGTGTTATGGGTAGAATGATAGTATAATCTCTCACAGTTCCAGGGATTGCTGGGCTCAGCTGGGAGGTTCCTCACTTGGAGTCCCTCGTATGTATGGTCAGATGGTGGCTGGAGTCAGCTGAGGGTTCCTTCATTCATGTGACTGGCCTGTAGGGTTGGAGCTAGAAAGTTGGGGGCTGATCAAACATCTCTTTCTCCGAGTGGCATCTCTGTTTGGTTAGCTTGGGCTTCCTCACAGCATGGCAGTTGTCATGATTTCTTACATGGAAATAGGATTCTCATAGAGCAGGGGTTTCTATTGGTAGCTTCAAGTCTTCTTTTGAGTGCTTAGACACCTCCATATCATTTTACCACTTCATGTGGGGCTATGATGTGCACATCCAGGGAGGGAAGAAACTGATGATCTCCCTCTCAGAGGTAAGCTACCACAAAGGTAATGAATTCATGGACAAAACCAACAGGTACAGTGTGAGCAGTGTTGAATGAAAATTAAGAACAGTGTCTCTGGTCACATTGCCTTACACAAATCCTGACTTTAATTTATACTAGTTATCAGATCTTACAACAAATTATAACCATTTGAGATTCAATTTCTCATCTATAAAATATGGATAACTAAACCTAGATTACTAGACTCTTCTGCCATTAGGCAGGCTTTGGTGGGAAAATTTAAGACACATTTTTAAAGACTATGAAAGTGAATCTAATCAAACTAATTATTTGCAGTAAGAATATTACATTTCTGGCCATTTTGGCCACAATCGAACTGTTGAAATAAAAGTAGAGGCTACCACTAATTGTCAAATTGAAGGCTTATGACCATGGAGAGATACTTATTCAAGTCTTTGGCTTGGCATGCATGCATAAGCGATGAAAAATGCTACAAAGTCACCCTGTCAGTGATTTGATTTGTATGCCTACTGTGCGTGTACCTGATAGCTGTCCTATATAAAGTATGCTTATTACAAATGGAGCCCTACATTGTTTACATATCTGCGTTTGAATGATGTGAGTGTTACAAACTTGAGAAAAATTCCACTCCTTTAGGACGAATTCAGCCACCATGTGAGGTACATTTTTTTAGCAGTATTACGCAATGTTGGATGGCTTTGCTAAACCACTGCCAATTTCTTGAAAGGAAAGTCATGAAAACGTTTTCAAAGTAATCATTTATGCCTGTTGTTCTTACAAAACAGCAGTTAATTTGCTTCTGATTATCTGTAAGTAAGGAATTTTGGGATTCTTTTAGAGATTGTTTTCTGATCTTATGCCAAAACGTTAGTTCTATTTGTACTAGGTACAATCCTAGTTCATTAAAACTGTGGAGTAACAGATCATTTTTCCACTCATTTACCTTAGCCTCAGGAAATATATAACTAATTTAAAAAAGAAATTTTTTTTTCTTTTTCTTTATAATCATCACCAAATTTCTTTACTGCGATAGCTTAGTGTAATAGAAGCATCACTGAACTGAAAGTCAAATGACCCAAGTTTTCATTTTCTATTTATCTAATCCTTTGTCTATTCATGTGACTATCACTATTCCACCTTCTTGGTCAGGTATTATAAGGGTAAAATGAAATGAAGAAGTACTTTTAAAGAGTAAAAAACAAGGCTCAGTGCAGTAGCTCATGTCTGTAATCCTAGCACTCTCGAAGGCTGGGGTGGGGGAATCACTTGAGTTCTGGATCAGCCCAAATAAAAGCAAGACCCTTATCACTACTAAAAATGGAAAAATTAGCTGGGCAACATGGTGAATGCCTGTAGTCCCAGCTACCTGGAAGGCTGAGGCAGGAGGATCTCTTGAACCCAGGAGTTTGAGATTGCTGTGAGCTAGGCTAGTACCACTGCACTCTAGCCTGGATGACAGAGTGAGACTCTGTCCCAAAACAAAAGGGGAGGGGGTAAAAAAGAAACAGCATTCAAATGAAAGATGTTCTTATCCTGGAAAGATGTTTTGATTTTCCACACTTTGGAAGAGGCTTAACATTTCAAAAATTGTTAAATCGTGCTAAAACCTTTAAATAATATGTAGGTAGAATTTTTTATACTCACTAATGAGTCTTTGTGAGATACATGGAATTAGGTCTCTTCTTCCTGCTTCATTTCTTTATTTTATAGCTGCTGTTTTCTCTCTTTCCAGATGAATGTCCTTTTTTTCCACCTCTCCCTTCCTCACATCCAATACCCGTATTTACTCACAAACACTTTTTGTTTTTCCTTAAAAGGGAGCTACCATTAAAAAGGATGAGCAGACTGGCGCCATTGTTGTGGCTAGAATCATGAGAGGGGGAGCTGCGGACAGAAGTGGTAAGAGTTTAAACATTTGCTGACTCCACTCACACTGTGTTCTGTATCATTAGGAGCATTTCCAGTACACAATTAAGGGGATTGCTCTTTCGATATAAGACAGCAAAACAAGTGAAAAAGATATTTTTCTCTGTGTTGAAATGAGAGAACCTGTTTAAATAAAAGATAAATAAATCCAACTCTCAGGTCTTAGTGTCTATAGGCATCCAGTTATATCAAGACTTGGTTCTGGCCAGCCACAGTGGCTCACACACTTTGGGAAGCTGAGGTAGGAGGATCACTTGAGCCCACAAGTTTAAGACTAGCCTGGGCAACATAGCAAGACCCTGCCTCTATAAAAAAAAAAGACTTCTTATTTCAGTGTTTCTGCTTTGAGAAGTACTACTGAGAACATATAACCTTTAAGGTAAATACAAATGATTCTGTGGGGCAGTGGTGACAGCAGCAGCGAGAGGACAACAAGTTCAACACCTTGAAAGATGATGACAGCGGGGACCATGATCAGAATGAAGAAAACGGCACACAGAAAGACAGTGAGAAGGAAATAACAGAAAGAGACATCGGAACAGTGGCAAAAGGAAGGCTGTTGTCCCTGGACCAGCAGAGCATCCTCTGCTGTACAATTATACTTTCTGGGACTCCAGAAGAACCCCGGTGGCCCTACGAGCTCACAGAGCAATGAACAGAATATCAAACAGGTTGGCTCTTTTGCCTCTGTGGAGCAGTTCTGGAGGTTTTATAGCCACGTGGTATGTCCTGGGAGCCTACCAGGCCACAGTGACTTCCAAGAAGGAATTAAACCAATGTGGGATATGCAAATTAAAATGGCGGCAAGTGGATTACTTGGCTGTGAAAGGGGCTTGGCCTCCCATTGCTGGGAGAATCTCATCCTGGCCATGTTGGGGGAATAGTTCACGACGGGAGAGATCTGTGGGGCTGTGGTCTCTGTCTGCTTTCAGGAGGACATTATTTCTATATGGTAAGATTGCCAGCGACCAAGGAACCACAGCCCGAATCCAGGATGCGCTTCAGCAAGTGCTTAACCTACTACCTCCCCACACTATTATGGAATTCAAAACTCACATGGACAGCATCCAAAGGCCAGGCAGGCTGGGCCCCCAGAGGCTCCTTTTTCAAAACCTCTGGAAGCTGCAGTTGAATGTGCCGTAACCCTCTCCCTCTCTGGATGGCACCATCATTGAAGCTGGCGTCATTGAAGTCTCTGTTCTGTTGGTCTGCTACTTGGAAGATCCTTCTGTCCTTCACAAGAGGAACTGGAAGAACATTTTATGCTTTAATAACATGCTTACACACAGCAGTTACAATATTAGCTGAGATCCCTTAATAAATGGTGCTAAACTTTAAAAAAGAGAAAAGATCAATAAAAATTATAGTATCAGTAACATGTGTTTCTAGACAAAGATCAAGGCGCTGGTACCATTCTTTGCTAGCGTTATTCGATTGTGGTCTTTGATTCATTGCTATAGAGGCACAGATTCTGAAACCTGAGAAGGGTGAAGGTCTCCTTTCCAGTCCTTCAGTGTGTTGAGGGACCCTAACAATGCTTTGATTATGGAAACATTTGCAAGTTACATTTTCTTTTGTGGGTGCCACTACTGATGTACCAAATCTTATATTTCTCAGGTCTTATTCACGTTGGTGATGAACTTAGGGAGGTGAATGGGATCCCAGTTGAGGACAAAAGGCCTGAGGAAATAATACAGATTTTGGTAAGCTGTGAGTTTATGTTCAAGTTGCAATAAAAACAAAGTTGAATCACTGTGTTTCAGACTCTTGACATAGCAATATCATAGGCTCTGAATTATAGGTGTACAAATAAGTGAAACTAATTTATCTGTTGTATGAAATCTGAAATTTGAATGTAGTCATCTTAGGCCTTGACAATATTCATCTTAAAGTTCATTTGTTAGGACAAAAGGAAGGGAGACTTTCCCTTTTTTGTATGAAAACATATAATTAAAGGAGATTTGAGTATCTCAAAACAGGTCTCTCTCTCTCTGAAAATTTAGTATATGATTAAGATGGCATTTGAAATCACTGGGAAAATGACGGAACCATTTTGTAAATGGCATTGGGTTAATTGATGATTCATTTATCCCTATTTCATACCACACACAAATAAATTCGCCACAAATTAAGTATGTAAGTGAAAAAAATAAAAATTACACCATAAAATACAGTGTACAATTTTTATCATTACAGACTAAGGAAAGACTTTTTAAATTCGATATGAACTTCAAAGAAAAAAAAAGATGTGTGTACTAGTATTCAAAACTTACTCTCCAGATAAAAAGGTATCATCAATAAAAGACAAGTGGGATTGTAGGGAAAGTGTCTCATAAAAATGAAGAAGAAAAACATATAGAGAAAAATCAGCAATGCATATATATAAACACTTTACAGAAGAAAATATGACAGAAAAATAGTGGGTTCCTTGGGATTGAAAAGCTTAATGGTGCTTAAAGTGGGACAGAGTACAGGGAAATACATACGTTGATATGATTTCATGATGGGATGAATTAATAGAACTTTTGGAGATGTCCATCTAAAGACTGTCAAAATTTCAAATGTACACACCCTTGAATCCTAAGGAAGTAATTTGGTAAACATATATAAGCAAAATACTTTTAAAATATTTAAAAATTGTGTCCATCGTGCAAAAAGTTGGCATTGATCAAATAGTTCTTCATCCATGTGTGAGATTACTGTGAAACCATCCCTGTGGGTGACAGAACTACATGGCTGAATGATAGGAACAATAATTGCTAACATTGATTAAGCCCATAATAAGTGGCACTGCTCTAAGGGTTTTTTTATCCATTCAGAAAACACACACAAAAACTAGAAAAATGGAAGAGGATTATATACAGGAGTTTTGCTTTCTCTCCACTTATGCAATTCAATATTACAATGTAAGAATTCTTAATAAGATTTAGGATATAGACATTTTGAAATAAATAAACCCTTTATAAAATTCTATTTATTTTACTATCAAAACCTGTTTTACCAAGTCACTGTGTTGTGCTAGAGCTGTCTCCAAGCACCATTTCCCAACTCATTTCATGCTGGGTAAACTGAATTTAGCTATGGTGGGAGAATTTATACCCCCCCCCCAAATTGACTAACAATACACATCAGGGTCTTTTTGTTTTTTTTGATGGAATCCTGGTTTACCAGCACACCACCGAGAGTAAGCTCAGAGAGATCTGTCTTCCCCCGTTCTCCCTCCTTCCTGTAATCCCACCACTTTGGGATGTGGAGTCAGGAGGATCACTTGAGACCAGAAATTCGAGACTAGCCTGAGCCTCGTAGTGAGACCCCATCTCTACAAAATTTTTCAGAAAGTTAGCCAGATGTCATGGCACACCTGTAGTCCCAGCTGCTTGGGAGGCTGAGGCAGGAGGATTGCTTGAGCCCAGGAGTTTGAGGTTGCTGTGAGCTATTATGCTGCTGCACTCTAGCCCAGAGAACAGAGCAAGACCCCATCTCAAAACAAAATAAAACAGAACAGTGTACTTCATGAGCTGGCAATTATGTGCTCCAGCCTGAATAATAGAATGAGACCCTGCCTCTAAAAATAAATGAAGGTGCCTATTATTTATGGCTTTTATGGTGTTTACAATTTAGCAGGAGTAACATATTAAGAAGTAATGGGATAAATAAGTAAATATGGCTATGATAAATGCTAGAGGGAGAGAGAGAGAGACTGACATGGGAGTATATTTAAAGAGAGACCTACCTACCTCTGAGCTAGTCAGTAGGGATTGGATGGTAGTGTTGCTGATTTTAATTAAGTTAGAATAGACAGTCTTTTTACTTTTTACTTAATCTATTACTTTTTACTCTCTAAAGAGATAGAATTATGTTCTTCATTGTTTTTTCTGAGGGGCATTGTCACTAATTGAATCATATATTTATAACTGCACTACTGATGCTATAGGGGTTTTGTCCCCACCCCCCATGGATGGTGATACTTAAATGTAACCTTGCTCATGATCTGGTTATTGAATACCATATTTCTTTAAGGCACTGTGCACATTTTGTTTCTATATTGAAGTAACTTGACATGGATGGGACCTATATTTATTGAAACCTTAAAAATACACAAGAAGTAAAAGAGGACCCAGGGGCTAATGATCGCTAACTCATTGGACAAACTTCATAAAGCTTTCTGGCATGGCCAGAATTTTTACAAAAATAGTTCTCTCAGTCGATTCTGAGAGTAGAAACCCCGGCCCTTGTAAATTTTTAGATGCGTTGAGCTTTTTACCTATGTCGCTTTGTTTTTTTTGGGCTCTAGTTTTCTAATTAACTCCTTCTTTCCTCTGATACCAGGCTCAGTCTCAGGGAGCAATTACATTTAAGATTATACCCAGCATCAAAGAAGAATCACCGCCTAAAGAAGGCAAGGTAATCATTACATAAAAATATTTTTATGTGAGAGGTAATGATGCTTTTCCATCTAATGCATATCTGTTTTGTCCCCACAAATCGATAATATTCTGGGTTTTAAATGATTCCTTCTTGAATCAGGGTTGGGAGAGCATAGCCATTTCACAGTCATGTATTTTTTTTTAATCTTTATTCATCTAACGTGAAACTCTCCTTCCAGATGTTTATCAAAGCTCTCTTTGACTACGATCCTAATGAAGATAAGGCGATTCCGTGTAAGGAAGCTGGGCTCTCTTTCAGAAAGGGAGATATTCTTCAGATCATGAGCCAAGATGACGCAACGTGGTGGCAAGCAAAACACGAAGGGAATGCCAACCCCAGGGCAGGCTTGATTCCCTCAAAGCATTTCCAGGAAAGGTGAGCTACTGGCGCATAATGATGGCCTTTCTGGGGCTGACCTTTTGTTCTCTGCAAAATACCCTTCCAGCATAGCTGTGATAAAATACGCCATAAAACCTGGCCTTAGAATTCTTTATCCCTTGGGCTTGGATTTCTGTTTTGTCTAACTAAATATGAATGATGACCAAAAATAATATGACAGTACCAGGTCATATTAGATTTTTGTTATGAAGCAAATGGAAAATAGCACATTAATATCTGAAACCCTGTTGATGTGAAGGGTGGAAAAAAAGACTCGTCATTTTGGAGAGAGGAGAGAGAATTCCAAAAAATGTGAAAGTACACGATTTATTATTTCTTAAGCCGAACAGATTGCATCGTGTTCATTCTCCCCCGGCTTTCAAGTTTTTTTTTCTGAAGGCATCGAGTATCTGGGGGGTGTCTTAACCTCGGACCTGTGCTGAAAATTGATAGACGTGTTGACCTTCCTTCCCCCAGGAGATTGGCTCTGAGACGACCAGAAATGTTGGTTCAGCCCCTGAAAGGTTCCAACAGGAAATCATGTAAGTTTGTTAATAAGAATGCGGGGTAACCAAATCCTGCTGTTTACTTTTGACTATTAAAACAGGTACTCAGGGCAGAACAAGGGGTCACATTACCTTGCAATAGCTTTGGAACATCATTTCTCAGGAACCAAACAAGTCAGAACTTCGTGGTGGGAATATTCATGTGAGCTTTTTGAAGAAGAAAGGAGTGATTGGGGCTGCTTAGAGTCAACCCAGGCACTCTTTAAGGGGATAACGACTACTCTCTTTGATTTCTGAATTTAGGTATTTCATTAAATGGAACCTAAAATACAGCCCTTTTCTTTTTATCCATACTGGGAGGCTTGGGTAATGTATTTCTTGGTGAAGATTAGGGGAGGCAAAGACAGCTACTACTTTCTTGGACACTATAGCAATTGTGCCTGAGATCAGTTGGTCTGGTTCTTAATTTCTTTCTTATCCTCAAATCATAATACCTCTGGCCTGTAACCCACCCATCTGGACTTATTACCAGACCCCAATAAAAGAAAATAAGAGTAAGAAAAAGAATAATACATAGCTACCAAAAACATAGTGTGGATTTAGGTGTTTTTTTTTCTTTCTTTGAGCCTAATCTTCTATCAGCCTTTCTTCTCACTGCCTGTCTTCTCGAGTCTCCATCCCATAAATTTCCTACTTCACCCCCACCAAATGTTTCATGACTCCAGGTATTTTAGGAGAAAAAAACAACCCCCCCCCCCAAACCCAGGCTTGGTTTTCAGCATAGAAATTGTACATTAAACAGCAAAGTGAACAAAGAAATGGGCCTGGAATTTTACACCAACATCTGTTTTTAGTATTGTTGCATTTTTCACATCTCCTGTTATTTCTGTCAGTTTGTAGAAGCGGATAGCCCAGGAATTGCATTTATGAGAGAGCCAAACTGCAGCTGAGTATAAATCTCACAAGCAAGCAGATAGAACCCTTCAAGCAGAGCACTGATTCCAAAGCCTGCTTGTTTTTGCTACATCAAGTTGGGCACAAGGGAAGAAACATGTGTCGTAGAATGCCACACGTCTCATGACATCAGAAAGCTTAAAAGTTTCATGAGAACATCACATTGTTTTTAAGCACGGTGACTTTTTCACCAGCCAACTCGTTCAGCTGAAAGGAACTTTGAGGCATCTCCTGACTTGCTCTCTGAGGGATATTTAAATTACACATTTCTAATATATGTGGTGTATGTGGGATAAAGTATTTATAAGTTAAAGAAGAAATATATTTGATTTACTATCTAAATTTTATACTCAAATTTGAATGATAGGCAACTAGAAACTTACATAGTTTTATACAGACTATTTTAAATTACACACAAACTTTGTGGACACCCCATATAATAATGAAATGTTAGGCCAGGCATGGTGGCTCACACCTGTAATCCTAGCATTCTGGGAGGCCGGAAGTGAGAACAAGACCCCGTCTCTACTAAATAATAGAGAACCTAGGTAGGCACTGTGGCAGGTCCCTGTAGTCCCAGCTACTGAGAGGCTGAGGCAAGAGAATTGCTTGAGCCCAAGAGTTTGAGGTTGCTGTGAGCTATGATGCCACAGCACTCACCTAGGGCAATAGAGTAAGACTCTGTCTCAAAACAAATAAATCAATAAGTAAATTTTTATTTTTTAAAAATTTTTGATAAATGTATGTGTGTTTCTTTAAAGAGCTATCCAAAAGGAATAGATTGTTTTTCAGCGGCTCTCCCAAACTGGTTTCAGTGTAGGTGTGTGTGAAAGTGAGAGGATGTAGTAGATGTGTGTGCATATTGTGTGTGTGCGTGTTGTGTGTACATGCATGTGTGTAGAAGAGTCATTCTGTTTGTTGATTTGCATAGTTTATTTTTATGTTCATTCTTAAATATTTGAATCTGAGAAATATTGATTCCAGGATTTACCTTTGCTGAAATGTCCTCATTTTACTGATTTTTGCTTTTTCTGCCTCTTGAGTACCGTTCAAAAAATATTTTGTTGGTCTTCCTTCATTTCTCTCTCTCTTCTTTTCTTTTCTTTCCCCCTTTTTTTAAAAAATAGATTTTGATTCACTGGAAGATGTATTATTTTCAAAGAAATCTGTTCAAGATTCTTCTAATTCATTCATTAGTGTGTAGTGAAGATGGTCTTGTTCAGAGAGACAGTGTATTTCTGTGAAAATTAACAGCAAGCTTATGTCTTTATTTTCAAGAACTGAAATTGTCTTTGAAATTTCCTTGAATGTTGTTGCACAGACCTAAGAGTTATGCAGAAATTGCTGTATTGATTCTGAACATTTTGATGGCATTTAAAAGGGCTTTAACCCATGTTTTCATGATTCTTTGTATAATTAAATCTTATAAAGGTCATCTGAGTCATGACTTTCAAGTTTTGGTACTTAGATTCCTGGAATAAGGAGTTCATGTCATCATGCCCTTTGCTAAATTATAGAACAGTGCTACGAAGGAAAACAGCACATTGACATAAAATTATTTTTATGACTTTGAATATTTATCGGATAGATTTTAAGAAAAGGTTCTGATTGAATGTGAAATCTCTAAAAGAAGTCTAATTCTGTCCTATTGGTATTTATAAATTTACAGAAGAACACAGTGCTAAAGATTTTCTCCACTAAATTTTTTCAAGTGTACTTAAAACCTAGGAAGATACTGTAAGCATTGATTTGGGATAACGAAGTTAGTCATGTTATCTCTTTTCACTAAGGGAATTATTAATTAACTTATAATAATTATATGTATGTATATAGATGAAACATTCATAGACTGTGGTTCTGGAGCTATTGGGTTTCAGTTAGTATCAACAGAGAAGTGAATAGAGAATGGTAACCCCCAATCTTACTGTTTTTGCATTTGTATTTGTCTAAAGCAGTGGTTCTCAACCTGTGGGTTGTGGGCCATAGGAACTGTATTAAAGGGCTGCAGCTTTAGGAAGGTTGAGAACCACTGGTGTGAAAGCTCTAGTCTCTGGCGCCAAGGGAAATAGTACCAGGAGCCATGATAATAACAACTTCTTGTTGACTTTAAAGCTAATATCCATATGCAAAACTCAGTGTAGATCCTAGTCATCTTTAATGTTTGGGCATTTCCCCCTGTTCAGAATCTCAGCATATCTTGGCTGGAGTGCAGCAGTGTACACCTGTAACCCTAGTCCTCTGGGGAGGATCCCTTCAGCCCCAAGAGTTTGAGACCAGCCTGTACAACAAAGCAAGACCCTGTGTCTACAAAAAATTAAAAAATTAATCAGGTGTGGTAGAGTGTACCGGCAATCTCAGCTATTCTAGAGGCTGATCCTGGAGGGTCATGTGAATCCAGGAGTTTGAGGTGGCTGTGAGCTGTGATTGCACTGGGGTGACAGAGTAAGACTATCAAAAAAAAAAAAAAGAAGAAGAAAGAAAGAAAAGAAAAAAACTAATACAAACCCAGAAAAAGGCTTCTCAAACAAAATAATATTTGCCTCTGACAGTTAAAAATTTGTGAAGACCAGGCCCTGTGGCTCGTACCTATAATCCTAGCACTCTGGGAGGCCAAGGCCAGTGTACTACTTGAGCTCAAGAGTAGACCAGCCTGAGCAAGAGCGAGAGTCATCTCTCCTAAAAATAGAAAAACTAGCCTGGCATCATGCAGGTGCCTGTAGTCCCAGCTACTGGGGAGGCTGAGGCAAGAGGATGGCCTGAGCCCAAGAGATTGAGGTTGCTGTGAGCTATGATGATGCCACGGCAACAGAGTGAGACTGTCTCAAAAAATGAAAAACCCCGCAAACTAAAACATGGACTCAAACCAAGAACATTCCTAAATCTTAACAAGCCTGATACAGGGACCACTCTGCCCCTCCTCTTCTTCCTCCGTCCACTCCCCCCCCCCCACCTTTGGGAGAATTGCTTATTCAACAAAGCAGTTTGTGATAGGAAACTTTTTCCCTCTCTCCATCATCTAATGATAGGTTCCCACGTAATAGGTTTGTCTCAGTAATGCAGACAGAAGAGCAGCCTAGAGGCCTGGGAGATTCTCTTCGGTATGACCAACTTTTAGAGTGTTACCTAAAAGGTCGAGCTTAAACAGTTCTGGAAATGAGTAAAAATATATCCTTGTCTCACGTAGCCTCTAGAGGTAGTTCTTTAAGACAGAAACTTGGCAGCTTGCATTTCTTGTGTGCATATAATTTAAAGCATGCTAATTTTCTGCTTCTAGCTTATTTTTATAGTTTGGTTCCATATCTACAACAATACGATATTATGTAACTTTGAAGAAAGAACTAGGAATTTATTTGAAATATTTGTTTCCTTTCTATTAAAGTCTATGAGTTAAGAATTATCTTTCTAATAGCATAAACATTAATTTAACTTTTAACATAATACAGTGTAATTTATGTTTAATCTAGTATATTTGGCTTTCAGAAAGGAGTGAGAAAAATCTCTCATTCATACAGTGAATTTTACAACAGATTATTTAACAGTGATTTTTATTTATAGTTCTTAAGTCTCCTTTTTTACTTATCAAAGTATAAGGACATGAAAATTTCTAATTTTTCCTTTACAAAATAGCTCTTACAAAAAAAGAAGTAGCTCTTACAGACATCTTGTAGTGAAAGCCATAAGAATGTACATTTTTTTGACCTCTTAAATATCAGAAAGGAGAAAACAAAATATTTTATTCTGAAATTTTGCTTTAACTAGTTGTGACTGTTAATATGTAAGTGAAGAAAAAATACTTATACAAACGACAACCCATTTAAACAAGGTGTAACCTAGTTCATTTGAAGGTAAGCATTTTGTGGGTTCATAATCACAACAGCCCACAAAAAAAGTTCAAACATTGACTCATGAGTTGACTCTACATGGAACCAGAAGATTGGAAGGTCTGACCATTTAAGATTAACTCATAAGGGACTCTATAAGTTGTCATAATAAAACTTTTTAAGTTGAGCAAACTCCTTCCTCCTATATTCTTTAAGCCATGTTAGTTTTCACACATAAAGTTAACTTAGAAATCAATAGAT